GTGGGGAAGATGAAAGCTTCTTATTTTTGCAGCAACACTAGTCAGAGTAATAATTCAATTTTGACCACACAGAATAAACAGTTCCAACTATCTAGAAGATGAGACTGCTGAAATTCTCAGCTGAAAACCCAAGGGGACAGGAAAACCAGAGCTGTCCTTTCAGTTCCTCCCCCACAATAAAAGGACTCCAGCCAGCTACATCTCACCCTTAGAACCCTGGAAACAGGTAAGCAATTCATGACATTTGTTTAAGATGAATCAATTCCCAGCACCATGTAGGGAGCCTGGGTCTCGGAATTACCCAAAAGCAGGGGTGCAAGACAGACAAAGGAAGGGGAATAGGTGAGAAGGGGCTTTGTCTGTTTTTCCTGAGATTTTAAATATTATTAGATAATTTCGTTCGAATTTCTAATAAGCAGGTTGAAGTTTAAATTACAAGATCTCTAACAGAGTCAGAATCCAAATAGCACAGGAGCTGGCAGACAACAATTGCTGGGGCCGGATGGGTTTCAGGTTTGTTCTTTGCAAAGACAAAGCTCCTATTGAGTGGTGGAGAGGAGAGCTGGGGAAAAGAGAGAGGGCTGTGGAGGGTTTTCATTACCTCGATCATCATCCCCACCGCGAGGGGAGGATGTAGAAGGAAGAAAGAAAAGCCGGACCTGGTCAGTGCACTGCTGAAAACGACAGCTTGGAATGAAGCACACACCTGATATCTGTGGCTCCTCCAGAGCAGAGTGTGGACGTGAGACAAAGGGGTGGAAAGAAGGAAGGAAGCCGAAGGCCTAGCCCTGAATGCTCACGCATCCAGCAAAAATAAAGAAGCAAAAACATCAGAGCAGAGAGCGGGTTCTTGGTAGGTGGTCCAGGGCTAGAAAGGTGATCTAATAGTTTTCTGTTTTTTCTTGCGATGCCTTGTAAACATTAGATTAGGAATCTCAACACTCGAGGGAACTTTATAGTTGAAAACCAACAGCCATCTCCCAATAGAAGGTGAAGCAGAGATGGCAGACATCAAGAAATACAATTCCTCTCCTTCTACGTGCAGGCCAACAATGGAGACCGTGGGTCTCTGGGGCATTGCTGCAAACCTAATCTTGTTTCTTCCTCTTTCTCTCCTTCCCTTATTTCTTTTCTCTCTGTCATTATTCATGTCACAGTCAAGTGCCCTCTTTGAAAAAAGCAAGTCTCCATCTGAATGGAGCTGGGGCCAGGTTCACAGGAGTTATTTCTTGTTGGAATGTCCTCCCTGGCAGGTGCTTCTCATCTGCTAACTCCCGCGTCTTCCCCTCTACTGGGCTGGCATTAGGAATTAGCATCTCCATTCCGATATGGCCAAATAGTAACTGAGAGGTGAAGCCAGTAGCTCTCAAACTGGGCTGCAAAAAAAGTTGTTTTTGTTTGAATGCCCAGTCTCTAGACTCCAGAGATTCTGATGTAACTGGTCAATGTTTTTAAAGTTCACCCCAGGTGACCCTTACATGTCACCAGAATTGAGACTCCTTATGTTGAAGAATATTACCCAAGGAGTGGTACTCAAACACCTGGAAGGTTCATGAAACATAGATTTCTGGACCTGTCGGCAGAGTGTCTGATTCAGTGGGTCTAAAGGTGGGTCAGAGAATTTGCATTTTCAGCAAGCTCCCAGGTGACACCCAGGTGGCTACCAGGGACCACACTGTTAGACCCACTGGACCCAAAGCATATAGGTTGTAATTGGTAAGATGGAACTTAGGCCTCCCTGCCTCTAAGTCTGCACCCTGAATATGTTTGTATTTCCCTTTTCTTTTTTATTATTATTTTTTGAGATAGAGTTTCGCTCTTATTGCCCAAGCTGGAGTGCGATGGCATGATCTTGGCTCACTGCAACATTTGCCTCCTAGGTTTAAGCAATTCTCCTGCCTCAGCCTCCCGAGTAGCTGGGATTACAGGCACCTGCCACCATGCCCGGCTAATTTTTTATATTTTTAGTAGAGATGGAGTTTCATCATGTCAGCCAGGCTGGTCTTGAACTCCTGATCTTCAGCGATCCACCAGCCTAGGCCTCCCAAAGTGCTGGGATTACAGGCAGGAGCCACCACGCCCAGCCTGTATTTCCCTTTTAAAATGGTTTATTGGATCAAAAGAGTCTCCAGACACAATGATGACTGAGGAGCAGCTGTAGAATCTCTTTCCTGAGCGATGTGGCAGAGAATATTCCAGGGCATCGCTGCTCAACCTGCGCTCTGTGGACCAGGAGTATTGGCATCACCTGGAAATTCACTAGAGGTGGAGTCCCTCGAGCCCCGCCCCAGAGCCAGGATTGGCATCTGTATTTTTACAAGGCTTCCAGGGGATTTTATGCACATGAAAGTTTAAGTAGTGCTGTTCTAGGGGAGCCGAGAAACACCGTGATTAGAGGATGGAGAGATTAGGTGTGCGCTGCCCAGCACACCTGCGGGGGTGGGGGCAGGGGCTGCAACTCATCTAGGTCATCTTAATTCCAAGCAAATACTGGCAGCGTCCAGAAGGGGGTTCAAAGAGGGCACTCAACCATGATGATAATAATGACAAAGAGAAAAGAAATAAGGGAGGAAGAGGGAAAGAAATGAGATCCAGGTGGCAATGTCCCAGAGAGTTCAGGTCTAGAGACTGGATTCAATGATGCCTACAGTACGTTCAACCCTGGCACTGCCACTCAGCCCAGAGGCAGAGGAAGGAGGGGAAAGTTGTGGGCTGGGCTCTGAGCAACCCTTGCACGCACTGTCACATAAGCCTCACCAGATCCTTATCAGAGATGGCCATGCCTGGTGGATTAGTCTGTTCTCACATTGCTACAAGGAAATACCTGAAACTGGGTAATTTATAAAGAAAAGAGGTTTAATTGGCTCACAGTTCCATGGGCAGTGCAGGAAGGATGATGCTGTCATCTGCTTTGGCTGGGGGGTGGCCTCAGGAAACTTATGGTCATGGTGGAAGGCAAAGGGGGAGCAAACACTTGACACGCCCAGAGCAGGAGGAAGAGAGCGCGAGGGGGGAGGGGCTACGCCTTTTAAAAAACCAAACGAGAACTTGCTCAGTATCACGATAACAGAGAGGGGGATGGTGCTAAACCATTTCTGAGAACTCTGCCCCCCTGATCCAATCACCTCCTACCAGGCCCACCTCCAACACAGGGGATTACAATTTGACATGTGATTTGGGCACGGACACAGATCCAAACCCATTCACCTGATTTCCAAGGAGCAGTCAAGATGGGGAAGATCAGAGGACCTGTGCAGGTCCCACAGTTACAAAAAAAAAAAAAAAAACCTAGGGGATTTCTTATCCAGGTCTGGGATGCCAAAGCTCACATTCTCCTCACCACAGAATGTGAGGGATGGGTTCATGGGAGGTTATTACGGAGGCACCGGAATTTGGGAGTTCCAGAGGATTCCCAAATTCCGCCTTGTCCTTTGCAAAACAGAGTAACCGAGACACTCTGAATGGATGTGGGAGACAGAGCTTTGTGATTACAAACAGGGGCTGTGGGCTCCAGTTGCCCGAATTGAAGCCCCGACTCCACTCTTTGCTAGCTTCAAGGTCCCGTCTATAAATTCTCTTTGTCTCTGCCTCCTTGCCTGCAAAACATGGAGATGATACTGATATCCACCTCACTGAAATTTTCCGAGAATTAAACCACATAAAACATTCAAAGTTCTAAGCCCTGTGCCTGGTACATAATAAACACCAGGTGTTCTTGGAAGATGCACCAGTCCCCAGTCCTGGTCCAGCGAAGTCATCTCTTTAATCGCTGCTCTGGAAAGGAACACCTATAATTCCACAGTGGGACGATGTGGAGAAGAGGAATGCTATGGGAAATGTGGGTACAAAATGGGAAGGCATTACGCGCGGATGAAGCCCAGTTATTTATGTGATTGCAGGATGTTTGCAAGGAGACACTGAAAATGCACACGAGTTGGCATTTCCCCACAAGTGATGGCAGTGAGCCTGGGAAGGGTAATGTCGACATCAGAACCAGCTGGCTGTGCCTGCCAATTCAGAAGCCAATCAGCATTCCCACCCTTTGAACTCTCCCCACCCCAGTCCTACATTTTTAAACCAGAGACCCTGAGCCCCCTGGAAGGGGAAATAATCCCTGTCCCATTTGCTACCCATAAATAATACCCTGCAAAGAGTGCCCACTTTAGTACATTATCTTGATTTGCAGTTACCTTAAGTGCAGGAGACAGGCTTGGAGAAGCACAAGCTGAAAACCTGCAGACTTCTGCGCTCCCCTGGGCTCAACAGTTTCCAGAAGGAAGATCTGTTTTTAGAGTATTTCCCTGTTCAAGAGGGGAACTAGTGGTGATCATCAGAAGTGCCTTAGTGTGCCCTAGGTTTCCATTCCTAGGGTTCACAGGAATCCACGTAGAGTTCCCCTTCCTGCTCAGCTGCTGCCCCCCGAAGAGCCAGCTAGCTTTGCCCAGGTCACTGCAAAACCTGCTAAAGTAGATGCCATTATTATAACCACTTGCAGGTGAGAAAACTGAGTCTTAAAGCGATTGCTTGCTCAAGATGATGCCTGTAGTAAGTGATTGAGGGCCAGGGTGAGAGCATGGGCTTCCAGAGCCTGGGTATTAGCTGGCAGGCCAACCTTCATCCATGGTGGTGCAGGGGGGCTATCACTGAGGTGGGGACTCACCAGACCTGTGTGGACATCTTGGTTTTGATGTTCACCTTTCCTCTGATACCAGTCTCCCCATTTTTCTCTGGAAGACCCAGTATCAGTCTTGCCCTGGAGGGCACCTGACCCATGCCTGGCCAGTCAGCCCATTCCTCAGGCTGCAGGGATTGGTTCATGAATAGGCACATGGCTAGAGAGGTGGCTCATTCTGCTGGACATGGGGCTATGAGCCCAGGAGCCTGGAGGGAGAACCTGCCTGAGAATTAAACCAGTGCCGAGAAGAGCGAAACCCAGAGATGTTGCGTCAGGTAGGAAGACCATGCTAAGCTGAGGTAACAAACAATTATTGTTATTATTTTTATTATTTATTATTCTGTCGCTTAACACAATAAAGGCTTATTTCCCCCTCTCATAAAGTCCAACGTGGGTCAGATGATTTTCCAGGGCAACTGTCTTCTTCTCTTCCATAACTTGGGGGTTCAGGTGCTCTCCATCCTGTAATGGCGCCATCTCAACATTACAGGCGATCTCCATCCTGTAATGTCTCATTCAGTTGTCTCATTCAGCAACGTCTCACACTCATTTTATTGACTAGAAGTTGTCATGTGACTCACCTAAACTCAAAGGGGCAGGGAAATATGGCCATCCAATGTGGCCCAGAAGGTAAGAACTACTCAAGAATGATCCCCAAAGGTCTCCACCACAACTGGAGGGAAAGAATGTAGTTTAAATTATTTGACATGATTTAAATCCCTAGATCAAGCTGTGCCTGAAGGAGTTGTGGTAGTTCTTAAATGAGATAATAATTCTTTTTAAGGTCTAGTTTAAGTTTAGCTTTTTTCTCACTTGCAACTGAACAAATCCCACATGACAGGAACATTACCTAGTCCTGATTCCCTGGCTGGCTCCCGTGTCTCCCTCCTCCCATTGTAAACACCACCCACTATGAGCTTCTGCCCTTCCACTCGTTAAGGAGAACTGCAACACACATAAGCTTAAATGTTCTAAGTTTTCCCAGGAACTGTCTTTTCAGCCACTGTGAAGGCCAAATGGTACCTGAGAGAGTAAGTCACTTAGGAGAAAATGAAAGTCCACGCTAAAAACAGCTTTTCATCTTGCAAATGAATTGGGTTCCCCTAAAGGAAAGCTAGGACTTCCGCAGAATGCCATAAAGTTAGCTCTCTGAGATACTTTAGATAAAGTGGCTACATATGTCCTTAGACTGGCAGCAGCAGCAAGAGTTGACCTGATCTCTAGGAGCTCTGCTTGAAGACTCTGGCTGGAGAGAGGAGACCTGGGTTCTGGTTTAATCTTTGCCACCAACCAACTGGCTAATATTGAGCAAGGCATTTATCCTCTCTGGGCCTCAGTTTCCTCATCTGTAAAGTGAGTATGTTAAAGTAACCAGGATCTAATGTCCCCATCTCCCTTATGCCCTAGATTTGTGTAGGGTCCCACCTCCGCCTACAGGTGCTCAGAATGTGGCTCAGCGGTTGTCCTAATGAACCAGCAGGAGTAACTATGCTGGTTGAAATCCTTCCCAGAACTTCCCATGCGGAGTGGCTGCATGCTGTGTGTACTTGCTGGGTAGACCACTGCCAACATCATATTCGAAGAACGCTGGACTGGGAGCCAGGAGATACCACTCGTTTCATTGCCTTTGGCAAGTCCTTTAAATCTCTCTGGATTTCTCCATCTTTCATGTTGGAATGGTGATCGGTGCCTCCTTCAGAAGATCAAACAACCTTCTAGAGTCCGCTTTGGGCTTAGAGTCACGTGACATGGTTTGAGTTCTCACTCTGACATCTTCTAGCTGTGAGAGCTTGAGCATGTTGTCATCTACCCACACTTTAAGTTCTGTAAGTAAAAATACCGACCATTCACATTATTAAGGGCTTTCTGTGTTTCTCTACAACCTCATAAGGCAGGTGCTGTTATCAACTCTATGTCCCAATGTCCTTTAAGCTCTCTAAGCCGCAGAGTCACAGAGCAAGTGGCAGACCCAGATTCCAATCCAGAGCTATCTGGCCCTAGTCCCCGTTCCACACCACCCTCCCTGCTTCCCTGACATGGACAGTGAATGAGGATGGGTACAGAGAACCCCCAAATGCTTCAGCGATGTCTCATTCAGTTTTGTGTCTCCTTCATCCCTAGAAACATAATTAAAATGTAGTATGGTCTCAGAGGCCTTGTGATGAGTGATTGATTAACGGGTGCTTAGATGGGTAACAAAATAGATACGTTATAAATGCAAAACAATGTAGCTGCTCAAATGTATGTGTTGACCCAGGTACCACCACAGCCATTCCTTGGGAGTTCCAGGGATGGGATGATCAGGTGTGCTTGGGGCTGGGATATGGAAGTGGCCAAGTTGAAGGGGTCCAGACCACCACACACCAGAGGGGCTAGAGTTTCTTCCTGTATTCCTCCACCCGTGGCCCAGAAGGTCCAGACATGTGTCCAAAGTAGGAAAGTCATCTAATTAGAGCTCTGATGTTAAATCAAATGAGGGCCTTCCCTGGAGCTGAAGATAGAAGGCTGGGAATGAGGCATGGAGAGCTGGAGAAAAAGGGCTGTCCACCCATCACTCTGCCATCTGGGTCCCATGCCCAAAGTGAATGGGACTCCTCAGCTCTTTGAGGAAATGTCAGTAGCCAAAACAATGTCTTCCTTGTCTTCCTTCTTGTTTTTTCACTCCTGTATGCTCCTGTGGCCCAGGAATATACAGATTCATCCATCCAATTTTGGGTACCTGCTACGTGCCAGACACTGCTCAAAGTGTTTGGGATATTCTTAAATAAAAACAACCACAAATCCCTGCCTGGGTACACCTTATGTCTGATCACAAGAGCAAACCCTACCCAATCACTGCCAGAATTGTTTCATGAGGGGTCTTCTGCACTGACCATCTGATCATCTTGCCCTGATCAAAGAGTCAGAGCTATGTTTCAAATGCTGGGATTGGTCCTAGAATAAACTCACACCTCTGGAGAAGACCTTCAACACTGAAGAACCAGCTGGTCCCTCCCTCTAAAAGAAAGGCAAAGGTCCTTTGGACTTCGTGGTTCCTTGCCAATCCCAGCCTAAGCCATTCAGCAGCAGGAAATATGTGCACCCGATGAGGCCTCCCAGGTGGGTCTGCAAAAAGAAGAAAGCAGGTCAATAGACACTAGTTCTCCAAATTAATTCACTCAGTGATAACACTGGGCACTGATTAAGATCATGGCCCCTTGCTAGATGCTGAGACAAACACTGAAGAAATAAGAGGCAGTTCCCACCCTCCATGAACTTCCAAACAAGCTGACAATCGGATGGGCTGAGAGGTTTAGGAAAGCTGTTTGGTAGGCAGTAAATAGAAGGACAGGATAGGCAGAAGGGAAAACCAGGACCAAGTTGGATGTAATAGTGAGAACATACACAGCCCAGGTATAGCAGCAGAGAGCTTACATTCATTCAATCACTCGCTCATTCATTCAGTCAATAAATATTTGTTTCACACCTCCGCTATCCCACTCTACCAAGCTAAGCCGATGGTCCCAGTGTGGAGAGACAGGCATTCATCAAATAATCACACATTATTTCTATGAAGGAAAAATACAAGACACATCAAAAGAACCATGTACGTTGTTGTGTGTGTATGCATGCATGCACACATGTGGTGGCTAGAGGCTGGTGGTAAGGAGACCATTTCCGGAAAGGGAACAAATTTTGCAAAATGTCCTGAGACAGACAGGGACCTAATCCAGTAGGTGGGCTGAAGAGAAGCAAACTAGAGGTGAGAACAGAAATCAGCAGAGCCCAGGCTGATGGTACAGGTCAAGTTGAAGGTTTTGTTCCCATCCTAAGGAAAGGGCAGCCAACAAAAGGTTTACGCAGCAAACAACCAGGCTGTGATGCGTACTGGAGAGAAGACATTGTGCTGAGGGGCTGGGAGATGAATTCACATTTCCTTCATTTTATGAAGAATTTGCAAAACCTTTAAGTCAGAAAAGCTCACTTTCTGTTCTCTCAGAGGCAGTATAGTAGAATGGTTATGAATCCAGGATTTTAGGTGAAGATTTCAATCCTACTTTGGATAATTAATAATAAATTATGTCTAAGCCCCATGTTTCTCATAGGGCTTTTGTGAGCATTTAAATGCAAACATATGTAAATGTGAGCGGTATCTCTAGCGCTTATAAGCCCCCAACAATTTGCAGCTATTTTTCTCAGGTCTCCTTGCACCTTGGGTAAAGAGGTGCTGAGCTGCATCATAAGTTTCAGCAGAGCTTGACCCCTCTTAGGACCATCTTTCATTGAAGGACCTTTGGCCTATTGCTTTCTTGCTGAAGTTTAAATGTTTCCAGTTTCTTTTTGAGAACAGCTGGTCCCAATCTACTAAATAACCCCTTTGCACACTTGAAGACCATTATTAAGATTCCCTTTGGCCATAAACATACGAAGAAGTGTTTAACATATGAAAAAAAAAATGTTTAACCTCACCAGTAATCAAAGAAATTCAAATCAAAACAACAAAATGCAATTTTTGCCTATCAATTTGGTAACTTTTTTAAATGATAGTGCACAGTGCTGGTGAGAGCATGGTAAGGTGGCAATTTCATACATTGCTGGTGGGAACATAAATTGGTACAATCTTTCTGGAAAGCAATTTGACAATATGTTATCAAGATCCTGAAAACTGTCCTTACCGTTTAACCCAGTAATTCCACTTCTGGGAATCTATCTCAAGGAAATCATCAAAGAATCAGACAAAAATTTCTGTTCATGGTGTTTGTTATAGCAAGCAATATTTTGAATTAGGAATAACTAAAAACTACCTAAAAGTCAAATGGTGTCGTGATATATATTAAAAATTTATTAAAAGTCATGTTAACAAGGAATTTTCAAGGACATTCAAAATGGTCACCAAAAAACGTAAAACTACAAACACACGCAAGATACAAAACTAAACACCGTAGGATTTTAATTACATAATTATATATACTTGTATTTTTATATGTGCATTGAAACAGCTACATGCAAATACAGCAAAATATTAACAGTTCTTACTAGAGGGTGATAGAATTAGGGCTGGGTTTTTATTTTCTACTTTAAAATTTTATAAGCAAAGAAATTGTTTAAGAGCTCACATGGCCTTATGTATTTTTCTAAGTAGTTCCTCATGGTCTCTCTTCCACCATAGCATCTTGCCCAGAATCGAAACAGCGGACTTTCAGTGGTTACAGTTTTCCTGGAAAGGGCCAGATAGCAGATATTTTAGGCTCACATAGATCATACAGTCTTTGTTGCAACTTCTCAGCTCTATTGTTATGTGGCAAAACCAGCAGATCGTACGGCAGCCAATGGGCATGGCTGGTTCTAATAGAATATTTTAATACATAAAAACAGGCAGCAAGTCCGTTTTAGCCCACGGCCTTAGTTTGCTGACAACTGGTCTAGATGATTTGAATCTCTCTTGGCCCAAATTATGTATAGTCTCAAACAAGTATAGTTGGGGAGACTTCTAGAAGGGTGGGGTGAAGTAAGGTTCTTGTCCCCATATTCCTAGAGAGTCCATCAGTCTGAAATGTATTGAGAAGCAGTCAGTCAGGGCACTTCTCCCAGGCCTTGTTCATTCACCTCTTTGGTTTTTTTCTCCTATTTGTTTTTTATTATTTCAATAGTCTGGGGGGGTATAGGTGGCTTCTGGTGACATGGTTAAGTTCTTTTGTGATGATTTCTGAGATTTTAGGGCACCCATCATCCAAGCCATGTATCCAATATGCAGTCTTTTATCCCTAACCCCCCTCCCAGTCTTCTCCCCACCCAAAGTCCCCAAAGTCCATTATATCACTCATGCTTTGCATCCTCATAGCTTAGGTCCCACTTACAGATGAGAACATACAATATTTGGCTTTCCATTCCTGAGTTACTTTACGTAGAAAAATGGCCTCCAACTCCATCCAAAACACATTATTTTGGATGTCTTATTATTGCTGCTGTCCTATTGCTGCAAAAGACATTATTTCATTATTGTTGCTGTCATATTGCTGCAAAAGACATTATTTCATTATTGCTGCTGTCATATTGCTGCAAAAGACATTATTTCATTCCTGCATGCCCGAGGTAAGAGGATCTTTCGGTCCAGAAGTTCTGGGCCGATCAGGCATCCGTGCTAAATTCACCATCAATGTGATCAATGTGGTGACCTCTCAAGAGTGCAAGGCCACGAGGTTGCCTCAGGATGGGTGAACTGGCCCCGGTCAGAAACCGAACAGGTCAGAACTCCCACGCTGATTGGTATTGGCCTCTTGGCATGGGTCTTCCTTCTTCTTGTGCATCAGAGCCCCCTCAAATACCTCCTTCTGCCACCACCCACTGCAGCCCTTATCCCATCTGGTGGAATAGGAGGTGAAGAAAGCCAAACACCCCAGTGACGACTGACAGGGGCTACAGAGACTAGTTTCTGGCTAGTTTGAGATCTCCCCTCTCTACCAACTGTAGGGTAAAGGCACCTGATGGTGTAACTTAAGCATTCCCTGAGAACAAGGCTATATGGCAAATGCACCTGAATGTGTCTTCAGAGTTCCAAGCTAAGGAATCTGGGAGGAACCAAGGCAGAGATTCATTTATTATCTATGAGGAACATCTGAACGCCCAGCCCGTCCTGCAGAACACAGGCCATGCAGGGATCGAGGCCCTTTGTTTTGGGGTTCAGTAAAGGTTGCCAGGTGGAGACTGTCAGGCGAACGGTGCTAAGTGACAATGTTACACACACTGCATGCTCTTTGCACGTAGCTCCTGCCCAGCCCGCCACCACTGGATTCTCTCCCCTATGTGTAAGCCCCCAGCCCCTGCCTCACCTGCTGGCCCTGGTTCTCATCTTTAGCCTCTTGAACCTGCTGCCATCCCCATTGGAGTTGATAGGGGTTCTGCACAACACCAGCCATGAGGTTTCCAGGTTCCTGGGTTTCCAGTTCTGTCTTCCTTGTGGCCACTGTGCTCCGGAGGAAAAGAAAGAGACAGGCAAAGGATGAACTGTAAGTGTGCTGCATCCCAGGCATTGTTCGAAGGGGTCCATAAGATGTTTTTTGGCGGGGAAAGTTTTATATTAGAAAGACAAATAGAACCTTCAGCAAGGATGCACCACAGACTTTTGTAAACGTATAAGTATATGTATACAAGACGAAGCTTCGAAAGTTCTCTTGTTGAGAGGAGAGTCCTACATCACTCACCTTGATAGATTCACAGGTCATTACCAGGTATAGGTAGGGAGCCTTTCTACCCTCTCCACCTTTCCTTCCCTGCCCCGATTCTCTTTGTGTGTTTCCAGTAGGGACTCCTCGTTTAAACCATATTAGACATTAGACTCTTGTCCAGGAGGCAGAAATGACATCTCAGAGCAGCTCACATATCAGGTGATGAGTAAGGGGGTTACAGGATGACAGTGGCATTCCAAGGGCCTCTACTTCCCTCTCACTTTTCCCTACAAATACATCACATGCAAAGCTGAGAACCACCAAGTGAAAATGATCCATGTGGCAAGGAAAGTCACTCGTCCAGGGGTCCTCCCAGTGACCTCATCTGGCTTTTGGGTTTGATTCCCCTGACTGCTTTGATCTTATTATCATATATTCTATTGCACGTAGCACTGGCATAGGTCAACTTTCCTCACAGACTCAGCCATTCTGATAGTTAAACAGGGATGAGGAAAAAGAAGAGAACAGGGAGACTTTGTATTTTAAAAATGAAAAGCTCCAATAGGTCATTTTGCTTAAAAAAAAAATTATCTCACACCATAACCAAGGCAGAAAACATTTATCCCCAGCCCTCACCTCCACGTACCATCACTGTTAGGCTGCCGCTCTATGACTTACTTTTCTGTTCAATATTGACCTCAGTGCATATTTGACTGTAATTTCCCATGCATGTTTGGTGATGGTTTTGCTGGAGGAAGGGTACGTTGAGGGCCCGTCGTGAATCTCACTATCCCATGCCATCTTTTTATTAAATCTTATTTAATAAGCAATCATTGGGAGAAATGTGGTGGATGGGAAGGCCACAGGATTAGAAGTCATTCATGTGCCCACATTGTAGGCGTTTTCTCTGTAAAAGACAAGACTCCGTTTGAAAGGCATTTCTGTCACTCCCCAGCTATGTGGATTACTTCACCTCCCCAGGCTTATCTTTCTTCTATTTGAAGAAAGAAAGGAATAGGGTGGGAGTGGGAGGCATGTGATCTCCATCATGCAGGGCTGTGAGCCGCAACAGGAGGCCATGTGATCACCTGGCACAGGGAAGGTGCTTAGAACATTCCATATCCCCATGTCATTCTTAAAGCAAGAAACCATGCTCATGGCTCTCAGAGTGGCAGAGAAGGATGTTACCCAGCCCTGGGCCCCAAGTGCTGAGTCTTCAGGGAAGACATCTGTGTACACAGGTAACTCAGAATATTGGGCATATTGTGAAAGGTGCTGCCAGAACAGAGAAGGAGAAATTCATCCCAATAGCTGGTATTAGTGAAGGCTTTGGGGAGGAGGTGGCATTTGAGTTGAGCCTTGAAGGACAAGGATAGAGATATAGCCGGGGCTTCTGGGAGGAAACTATGAGAGCACAGGCTGAAGAGAGGAGGGGACAAAGCATTTCAGGAAACGATGAAGTATGCAGGACAGTCAGGTGCAGAGAGAGCCCAGAGTAAGTGAGGCGTAAAGAACTGAAGGAGGCCAGATCATGACAGAACCACAGACGCAGTGCTGAGATTACGTGGTTTCTTTTTTGTTTTGTTATGTTTTGACTCAGAGTCTCGTTTTGGCAACCAGGCAGCAGTGGTGCAACCATAGCTCACTGCAGCCTCCACTTCCTGGGCTCAAGTCAGCCTCCCACCTCAGCGAGAGGACTACAGGCATGTACCAACATGCCAGGATAAGTTTTCTTTTTATAGAGACAGAGGTCTCACTATATTGCCCAGGCTGGTCTCACACTCCTGGCCTCAAATGATCCTCCTGCCTCAGCCTCCCAAGTCACTGGGATTACAAACATGAGCAAGATTAAATGTTATCATGCGGGAAGGGAGCATGAGATTCTCAGACCAGGAAGTGACATCATCAGAATGTCATTTTAACACAGTGAAGGCACACTGTCTCCTCAGGAAAATCCCCTGGCAAAATCATCAATGGAGCTCTCTTTCACTCATAAAAGCACTTTCATTTAGATGAAAAATGACATGATCACTCTCAGTTTAGATCACCCTGCTGTCCATGGGGCACAGAAACCAGTGGGTCTCTCAGATGGACCAGATAGACCCATTCAGAGGCCATATCAACTATCCAAGCAGGAGGTAGGAACTTCCAAAAGGACCAATTTGAAAGTAGGTTCAATAAAACCTATTGATTGCCAGATGAGTGATGGAGAAAGAAATAAGCAGACCCACTAGCTGATGGACAGTTTAGTATCAGATATGGGGACTGGATGGACTGATCAGGACATTCTTGTGTAAGTGGACAAGGAGCTTGCAATGAGAATCTACAGCACAGCAGAGGCCAGAGCTGGAGATGTGGATTTGGCAGATGGCAGAATCCCAGGAACAATCATGGCTGAAGAGGGAGGCTGTGTGACCACCCAGGGAGAAGGTCAAAAAGATGACACTGGGGGCACACTGAGATGATACTGAGACTTACGCAAAATGAAAGAAGATTCAGGGAGGAACAGGATCATGGACACCTATGGAGAAGAAGGTTTGGTGGTGACTGGCCACATCAACAGAGCCAGACGCTCCTGCAGGAATGAGTAGGATGGAAGGGGACGATTAGAAAGAGCTTTGAAAGTTCCATTGCAGCAGAGCAGTGGGGCAGAGGCAAATTCAGTGGGTTGAAGGGTGAGTGGGAGGAAAGGAAGTGGTGTCAATAAGCACAGATGATTCTTTGGATAAATCTGTTACTGAAAGGAAGGAAAGAGATAAGCCTGTGGTTTGAGGGAATAATATATATATTTATTTTTGATATGAAGTCTTGCCCTGTCACCCTGGCTAGAGTGCAGAGGTGCGATCATGGCTCACTACAGCCTCTGTCCCCCGGATTCCAGAGATTTCTCCTGCCTCAGCCTCCTGCGTAGCTAGGATTACAGGCACACACCACCACACCCAGTGAATTTCTGTATTTTTAGTAGAGATGGGGTTTCGCCATGTTGGCCAGGCTGGTCTTGAACTCCTGACCTTAGGTGATCTTCCTACCTCAGCCTCCCAAAGTGCCGGGATTAAAGGTGTTAGGCACCGCGCCCAGCCAAGGGAATAATCTTTTAAAAGGGGGCAGGGAAGCATTTGGGAAGTTAAGTGTGGAAGCTGAACATATTTGAACACCAAGAGGAAGACACTGGAAGGAAGAGTGGGTATGAAGGTACCAGAGATAACCATTTGGAATAAAGTAGGAACAGATCATTTCTGCTCCAGTGGAGAGGCTAGCCTTAGACAAGAGATGGGACTCTGGAAGGAAGCGAGGCTGCGCTTGGAGGGAGGGAATGCTGGTGGTCGTGGTTGTACTAGGAGTAGCATTGTAATAATAATCAGTAGTAGTAACAATTAATGGTTATTCTTACTTTTTGCTTACACGCAGGTTCTCTGCATTGTTTAAATTAATTCCACAACCCCATTTTATATGCAGGGCAGCTGAGCCCTGGAGAAGCTACTTAAGTTGGCCGCAAACAACTGTAAAAATGCCAGGATATGGATTTAAAGCCAGGTCTTTCCAATGAATGGCATAGCCAGGCTTGTAGGCCAGTTGGAGTCAGTGTAGACCAGTGGCTCAGTCCTCTCAGTGAGTTGGAGGTGAAGTCATCTCCTGTGAATGATGGGGGTGGATGTGGAGGCCCGAGGAAGGAGGAGAAGAGTTAAAACAGCTGCTATGAAGAATGCAGTAGGGATGAGCCAGAGAAGAGAGAGGGCACAGACAGCTTTCCAGGGGCACTGATAGTAGATTCCATCTTGTTCTCATCACCCTCATTCCCAGCCGCATTCCTACTGGGAACACGCACCCCACACTCTTCTCATTTATTTCGCGTCCTCTCTCCTCTAATCCTTCCATCAAAGGAACTAAGAGCCATGTGGCCCAAGAATGGGTTACATTCTTTCCACTGCTAAAGGACTTGGTGATGGCCAGTGGGTACCGCTGGGGAGGTGGTCCTCAGAGCCTTTGTCCTGCACCAAGAACACCCTTGGCCTGAAAGTCTTAGGGAAGCAGGGCATTCACCAAGCAACAGAGATTCCAGATGGAGTGTCTGGGACCTGTGCTTCTGTGTTTAGAGGTCCAGATTTGCATTTCTGACTTAGTCTCCCAAGTTGCCTGGGCCCAGCCAATAGCAGAGGACAGCTGGGGTCAAAGCACTCATCCCAAGTGAATTAGCCATCTTCTATTCCATTAACAAGTCTGTCCATCCCATGTGACCTCTTTCTACTGGAGATCTATTAATTTTAGCTAACAATCAGTGAAGGGGACACCATTAGCCCAGAGCTCAAACCCATACCTCTGATTCACTGGTTTGACCACTTTGAAAACAGTATCAGGATCAAGTAGGCTGAGCCTCCCTCTTTGGTCAGAGCTTCATTGATTTAGTAAACAGAAGGTGTTCGCCATGGAGACAAGGTTGGTGTAATATTACTGTTTGTTGGATGTGGACCACCACTTCAAACAAACCTACTAAGCTACTGGTCAAATTAATAAAATCCATTCGGGACCAGAATCTAGAAAACACGGGGCTCAACTCAAATGTCTGTAAAACGGGCTGGCAGGTTCCAGAAGCGGCTATTGGAATCTTCTCAGGACTCTCTTTTCCACAGGGCTAGAAACTCAGTTGCAAGAGAGTAATCACAATGAATTCTTAATAACCGAGAAAAGGCACGGGGAAAATGACCACATCTGGTCCGACTAAAATGGAATCGTTTGAGGGAATGCAAGTAGGCAACACTCCAATCTACATTTCAGGCAACCGGGTTTGTAAGATCCGGGACAAGGGAGAGGGAAGACGCAGCTCTCCAGAGAGAGTCCTAAATGTGTATATTCAGAATCCACGGGCGAATGTTTGGGAAGCAGTGATTCATTTGCGTCTGTGGGTGTGGGGTGTGTGTGGGGGTGTGTATACACGCACACACGTAAGCACACACATTCTCACACACAGACACTCCAGGTTTCTGAACAGTTGTGTACCATTACCCAGCTCGAGTTGAAATGAACCCCTGGCCTCCCTGTAGCCCCCATGTTGAGGTGTATTCTCCCACCACGGGCAGGAGAGCCTCCTGCAAACCCCAGCCACCGCGTCCTCAGTCCAACTCGCCAACAGATTGCCAGCCTTCTCTTAAGTCGCCCTGAAAAGCAGCCCAGGGGCAACAAATCCCTCCCTCTTCCACCAGTTCCAACATTTCTCTAATTAATGCAGGAGAAAATTAATTACAGAGGGATTTTCAAGACCTCGGCATCTAATGACCAGCCCTAGTGCCCCCTCCCTCCAGCTTCTTTGAGCCTCCTCATTGGCCCTGCCCGGCCCTGCCCTCCTCCCCTCCACCCTCCCCTCCCCTCCCCCCTCCCCTCCCCTCCCCTCCCCTCCCTTCCCAGAACCCAGGAACAATACCACAGGCTAATTAGGCAGGGAAAGAGTTTCTTGGCAAAAGGGGGCTGAGTGCTAGGTCAGTACCTTGAACAACCCAGAAGAAAAACAAAACAGCATTAAAAGAAAAAGAAAGGGAGGGGGGACCTGTTAATCCCAAGTGCATTTCCGCCAAATATTCTCCTTTTCAAGTGTTTTCTTCCTGGTAAACAAAGTTCTGTGGCTGGCTCTGGAGATTTTAGGACGCGGTTGCTTAGTAATATTGGGGAAAACACGAAGTCCCCACCTCAGCCCCATTTTGTGCCTCCTCTCCCTCGCTCACTGCACTGAGGGGCGGTGACACATTCCCACATTGCAAGGGACAGCCCGTTTGTGAAGAAGAGCTGAGCTCTCTTTTCTTTTCTTCTTTTCATCTCTAACAGCTTCCCAAAGCCCGGCAAAGAACAGAGATTGCTGCTGCTAAGTTTGGTGAATCTAGACCAGCGCTGTCCAGCAGAACTCGCTGTGACGATGGGACCGTCCTACATCTGTGCTACCCAATAGGGTGGTCACCAGCCGCACGCGGCCATTGGGCACTTGAAATATGGCTCGTGCAGATGAGCAACTGAATGTTCAGTGGTATCTCATGTTGATTAACTGAAACTGAAATAGCCACAGAGGGCTTGTGGCTCAGAGAGCCACAGCTCCTGTCAAAGCCTCTGTGGGTTAGAGGTAACCAAGGGCACAGCGGTAGCGTCTGGGTGGCTAGGTGACATTTTACGAGGGACAGAGGATGGGATGGGATGAGGAACACAAAGGTCCTGATTTCACTGCAGCCCTGTCTTCTCTTTGCTGTGGCCTCGGGCATCACTGAAATTGATCCTCAGTCCCCTCTTCTGTAATGTGAGAGACAGTCACAAGAGTGCTCCTCTCGATTGTTTTGAAGCAGGGGCAATGGATTCTGAGTCTCCTAGGGACCCCTTCCTCCAGAGAATAACAAATACAGGCAGCCCTGGTGCTCCACCATCGTGCCCACTCTCCAGTCTCCTCTCCTGCTCTTCTTGGCTTGCATTTTTTGCTCCGAGAATTCCATGCACTTTCAACCTTGGTATCTGTGCCTATGTCATGTCCTCTGCCTGCAATCCCTGCCCTTCTGGTTGCCTTGCCTTGGCCAAAAAGATTCCTGATCAATTTCAAGGGTCCTAAAGAATAAGGAATCCTCTGGGCTCTGAGCCGGGAAACCTATTCCCCCTCTCCTGTCATCCCATCTTCCCCACCCCTCCGTCATCCCGTCTTCTCCTCTCCATTCATCCCATCTTCCTTTCCCTTATTTATTTATTTAGAGACAGAGTTTTCACTCTTGTCGCCCAAATTGGAGTGCAATGGTGCAATCTTGGCTCACGGCAACCTCCGCCTCCTGGGTTCAAGTGATTCTCCTGCCTCAGCCTCCCGAGTAGCTGAGATTACAGGCACCTGCCACCATGCCTGGCTAATTTTTATATCTTTAGTAGAGACAGGGTTTTACCATGTTGGCCAGGCTGGTCTCAAACTCCTGACCTCAGGAGATCCACCTGCCTTGGCCTCCCAAAGTGCTGGGATCACAGGTGTGAGCCACCACACCCAGCCCCTCCCCTTCCCTAATAATCCTGTCTTCCCTTTGCTCATCATCACATCTTTCCCTCTCTTACAATCCTGTCTTTCTCTCTCCTGTCATCCCATGTTCCCCTCTCTTTTTTCTTTCTTCCCACTCCTCTTTCCACTATGGCTGCCACTAGCTGCACATGGCAACTAAGCATTTGAAACGTCGCTGGTATAACTGAGCAACTGAATTTTTAGTTTGATTTGACTTTAATTCATGGAAGTTGAAATAGCCACATATGGCAAGCTCTTGCTTGCTTGCTTGCTTGCTCTCCTGTGCTCACACACACCCCATAGGCTGTAGCTGAGCTACACGCCCCTCTCCAACCCCATCCCTCTGAACACGTGTGCCCCTGAACTTACCTATAATCTTGTATTTAAGCAACTTCTTGACAAATCTGCCATCCCATTAGAAAGTGAACTATTAGAAAAGACACAGCTCATGTTCCACTCTGGTTTTGTTTTTCATCTATGTCCCAGCATTCAGTACAGCATCTAGTACAGAGTAACTTCTCAATGAACATTTCTTATCCACGAAACAGAGATTCTTCATCAGTCTATCACCTATAACAGGCGTCAGCAAACTACGGCCCACAGGTCAAACCCAGCCCACCGCCCACTTTTGCATGGCCCTCAAACTGAAACGGGTTCTGTAATTTTTAAATGATCATATAAGTACCTCCCTAATAGCCTTAACTTTGCCTCTTGGCCTACAAAGCCTAAGATGTTTTGCTTTCTGGCCCTTTAAGAAAAAGTTTGCCAATCTCTGGTCTGGATTCCAAGAACAGCTGCTAAGGGGGCTGCTAATAGCTGGTGTAGCCTGTGGTTAGAGAAAGGGATACAGGAGGTCTGGGGAGGGGTGCGGAGAGAGAGGCTCACACCTGAGACAGTCCCAGCAAAGGTGAGCCCACAGGTACCTGGCTAAGACTGCCGGAGCTGGTCCTCAGAGACACTGCCAGCCAGGGCAGCAGAGACAGGCACACCTCCTGCTTCCTCCTCCCTCTCCCATCTCCTTAGCCCCACTGCAAACACCTCAGGGACTAGGGCTTAGGGGACATGCAATGTGACCTTCTAAGAAAGTTCTACCGTGCCCAAGCTCGAGCCATGGCACATGGAAGGTGGGATTTTTTTGGATTCTGTTTTGTGGTTTGAATACATAAAGTAGCATTTTCCATTTAAAATAAAGCCCCTAAGCATATTTTTAATAGCAATGGAAAGGTCTTCCAAAGAGACATACATCGGGGCTTGGAAGCAATCTGGCAGGCAGGAAGCAGTCTGTCCTTCCCTTTCCTGCTAAAACATGAACCGAGGTTTCTAAGAACCAAAGCAAAGATCGCTCCAGGCCCTGACACAACCACATCAAGGTGAGCAACACGATCCTGAAAGGTTAGCCCATCTCTGTTCTACGCTCCTCAAAACCCCCCATACCCGGCCCGTGTCGTCCTAATCTCCACCCCAGAAACAATTTGTCAGTCATCTCTCCAAATATCACAGGCATCTGGGAATGTCTCCTGGCCCACTCACTTCCCTGCTGGGTTCACCCTTCCAAACAGAGAGGGGCTGAGCGCACCCAACGTGCTAAATATTTCCCTGCTGCAGAATCTATTTTGCTGCTGCGGCTGCTGCTTGGCAGCAAAGAGACAGGAAGCTATTTAGATATATTATCTTCCTTTTCAGGAAGTTGAGAGGAACTTTTCTATTGGAGTTCACACAAACATTCCGTCTAATGGTCATTTAGTCATGCCGGCTCATTAGGTCACCAGTGAGGAATGCCCAGGCTGATTAAACATCATTCCAGCTTCTCCACTCGCTGCCCCCCAGGTCCCGGGGAGAAAACAGAGCTTCCCTGGCCTGGTGGTGACCAAGACAAGGAGCCCATCCTGAAAGCCACAGGGGCTCACTGCCAACCTCACAGCCCCTCCCCACCTCCTATGCAGAGTACTTCTTACTTCTAAGGGAGGCTGATGGCTTTATAAAGAAATGTGTATGGCACTGAGTAGGAAGGTGGGCCCCATGAATACCTCTGGTCAGATAATGCTGTCCTTTAAGGGAGATCAAAGAGGGCCCTCCGCAGAAGGCACTGAGAATGCTGTTCCCCAAAACTGCAGACAAACCCATGATGAGGTCACATAGATGAACTGACAGAACGTGGGCTTGCTGCAGAATGTAATAGCTAACTACGAATGAGTGGTGGTGGTTATGTACTAGACATATCCCAATGTTTTATGTGTGTTCACTCATTTAAGGCTCGAACAACTCAAGGAGGTAGGAATAATGAGGAATTGGCCCAGAAAGTCAAATACCGTATTTCTGCTTAAGGCTGCACACATAGTGGACCTAGCCTGTGCTGTCTATGAGGACTTTCTGCAGTGATAGACCTGTCTTATGTCTGTGCTTTCCAGTGGGATCACCACTGGCCACGCGTGGCTATTAAGTCCTTGAAAAGTCACTAATGTGACTGAGGAAGTGAATTTTGCATTTTATTTAACTATAATGCATTTAAACTTACTTGGTGCATGTGGCTAGTGGTTGCCATATTAGACTCCCCTGGCTCTAGAACCTACATCCTTAAACCTTAGACTATTGTGCCTTTCAAATCAATTAAGAGAATATGGAACTACTTACTGGGAGAATAATTAAACTCTGAAGGTGGAGCTTAGGTAGAGCTTCATTGGTATCTTAAAGGACAAGAACATGCGAGAAATCAGACTAAATAGGAAGTGGAAAAGTTAGCTTAAATGAAACAGTAGGCATTCAGGTCAGGTGTTGGAGGACTACACCTGTAAAAGAGAGAAGGCAGAATACCAACATGGCTTGTCAAGAGAAGAAGTGGCTTCCTTTTTTCTAACCAGTAAATTATATTGAGCTCCGACTCTGTGACCTTACTAAGTCTTGCTCTCTAGAGTCATGTGGTCCAGGTGGGAAGCCAGGTCTGATCCCCCAAACAATGCCAGGATGTGTGGGCCAGGGTGGATGGCAGTACTAAAGTCTGTTTATTCTATTTCCCTCCAAAACCTTCCTAATGAGCTGTGTCTGGGAGGGAGTGATATTTTCCACAATATCTTAGCCACTCCTTGGTTGTTTTTGTTTTTTTTTTGAATCTTCACTTTTCCATGCCATAAACACCGTATGCCATGACCCTATTCTAGTTAGATGTTCATCCATAAAGATAGGAGTGGTCAAGGAAG